AAGCCGAAGGAAGTCGCCGGAAGAAACTGTCACTGATCACGGATGTAAAAGCTTTGGGACATGAAGTGTTCAGTATCACTGCTATTTGCACCACAAATTTTATAGGAAATTCATAAAAATCATAAACCACTTCCATGAAATACGACTGTCATCTCACGGAAAAGAACAATTCGCATCACGCAGTCTCTTATGAAACCCAAATGCTGCTTAATTCTGGGAAGCTCGTGATTCTGGGTACAGGTTTAAGAAGGATTTGAGGTTTTTACGGCGGTGAGTCCGAAGATGGCTGTCTTCTGGGTTGTGGAGGTTTACCAGCGTTAAGAGCTCGTTGCTGCCTCCATCATCAGGGCGATCTCATCTCCAGTTTTGAGAAATTATGATAATGTCGTTGGATATACTGGATACTGAGACGACCCGTTCTTCAAGTGCCTGAGCACTGCGGGTCCCAACTTTTCGTTGGCTTGATCTATTGACATTCGGTAGGACTCCTTGGATGAGGGATCGGCCCGTCGCAAGGCCTCTACCTGTACACAGGACAGCACAACACAGAAAAACGCGGACAAACATCCATGACTTGAGTGGTATTCGAACCCACGGTCCCAGCGATCAAGCGGCACAAGGTCCACGCCTCAGACCGCGCGGCCACTGCGGACTCCCGTTGGATATAGGAAAATATAGAAACGCCGTTTAGATAGAACTAATGAATACGCTTGGCTAAGGATCTCATTAAATTATGAGTAAAATAGAGGGCCAAAGAGATGCAAGAAATTGAATTTTGACTTCGATACATGTAGAAAATTCCACAATCAGTGAATACAAAGTGCTGTTTTGAGAAAAGCACAGGATGACACAAAATAATATAAGCGGTCGAAAGCAGACCTTCGAGAGATTCTTACGTAGCCTGCACGATTATACAAAAATAGATGTGGCTTGCTGGAAAACGTGAGAAGTTTAAGGTCGATAACAAAGCAGAAAAGATTACTGCAAGGAGGCACTGAAAAAGCCGTATGGATTTAAAAAGGATCGACATGCCGAAAGATAATAGGAAACCAAACACACTCTGGGAAAAGGATTTTGACAACGGTAAAGACATTAATTGCCTTATCTGTTATCGTCATTACTCTCATTACATTACTATCATCAGTGCGTCATAGGCGTACAAAATACCGAGCAGTTGAAATTACACTCATTTTCCTCGCCGCTGGCTTTATTCTACCGAGAAATGTGAGGTCCGTGCGCTGAAGTGCTTTGCCGAGGCCTGTGAATTTAGAGACCTAGACGTCTCGCCCTGGTCTGATTGACTTTTTGTGTCTTTCTGCTGTCATGATATTGTATATCTACAGAAAGTATTGTTACCGTCAAACTCAATCTCCGTAGATTTCTGTCTCCGTCATCAGGACGAATTCGCCCTGATGACGGAGGCAGTATGACCTCTGAAACGGTGGTAAACATCGACCAGACTACACAGCGCAACAACCCAGAAGACAGAAATCTTCATACTCACCGCCGTGAAAATCTCAAATCATACATCAATCTCCGTACTTTTAGGGGGAGTGCATTTTAGATGGACTACCGCTGTGTTATTTCCTTCTTCCCGCCCTTTTCTTCTTTTCTCTTCCTCGCTATCTTCGTTTCTTGCATAATGCGTGCCTGTTTTCGTTTCGCATGTCCATTAATCGATTTATGTTGTCACGATGATGGTAACGATCGTCCACAGTGCATTATGACGACTCTTGGATGTTGCCCCCAATAGATCAAAATTGTATGTCCTTAAATCAAAGGGAAATGCAGAGTGTTCTCGCCGCTTGTAACGAAGAAGCCTACTGGGAAACTGCTTTCAGTAAGATGACTGGCATTATTCACCGATTTAACCTCGTATCGGTAATCAAATAAAGCATGTCGCCACGAGAAATTGTGTAAAGAATAGTTGAGATTTCTGGTAAATAAGGCCAGTGGAAAGGAAAGGCAGGGCGTGTTCTTCCCTGGAGGTACTAACTACTGTTCGCAGTACGGAGCTTCAGCTCTGACTTCCCTGAATCTTCAACGGAATCGATTGTCATGAAAGAATTCAACGGTCTTCAGCAGTCCTTGTTGCTGTCAAGACACTGAATGGTGTAAGCCGTGAAGCAACTTCGGCGTAGTCATGTCCGGAAGACGAAAATGTGCCCATTGATGGAATTGTACCACCGTCCATTTTTCTGCGATGCCGTCAGGACTGATGAGAGAACATCAACGGACGACGAACATTGTCAGCAGAACCGAAACTGTGACAGTCTGATGATGTCGTTTGGTCTTCTGACCTTGCAACAATGAAACGATTCCCCATTTCCGGACCGAGTGAGAAACATTTTTCATGTTTCTGATATTGACATTAGTTTTCTTACTGTTGCCTTTGTTGAGACCAATCTTTACTCACGTCACCGAGAATCTGTCCTTGCATTTTGTTGTAGCCACTGAAACTATGCATTTAGCTACATCACAATGGTACGTAGACCTCATTATATACAGGGCATTCAGAAGTACTCCAGCTTGAAGTACACTTACTTTACAAGTGCGTACATTGTAATTATGAATGCCTCATTGGCCTTGCTGTTCATTAATTTGAACAGTTTTCGTGTTGGACTATTTTCCAACTGTTTTTTAGTATTTCGATACCTCATTGGACTCATTTGTAAAAATAATCACATTACAAACGTCACTTCGTATTCATTATTTGTTATCCATATATTTTCTTAAATGCTCACCGTATACGTAGCTAGGCAACTTTTCCTTTGAAAGCCGTAGGCCTTTAAATCCGTCCATATTTTATTTCGTGGGGGGTAGTAATTATTGTTCGATACTCATATGAATTGGAAATGACCAGCAGTTTAGTAAAAACTCCACAATGTTACGTTTTATCAAAACACGTTTTGCAGTTCTCGAATTGAAATTTACATACGGATGGACATGATCTTGCCAATTTTCTGTTATTTCATTCAAATGCTGCATAATTAAGGAGAATGTAATTTTGTCCTAGTAAACTATGTAATGAGGTGGATTGAGTATTATAATCAACAATATCATTAGAACCGAATGAATGTTTTTATAGCCACTCATGTTAATGCATAACAAAACTTGTTTGAAACAATGTGTACTCTATTTCTTATGCTCAGCCCGTTGAAAGGTAGAAGTAACAACAGAAAACGTTTGTCATTTTCGAGTATAAACCTTCTTGATGATTTAAGTGTTTAACGAAATGCAGACTCATGAAGAGTGCGGTAAAATTTTAATTGTACGTATTTATTTCTTATATAGACGCTGTATACACATCTGTAGTTCTTGCGATTAAAAATTAAGGTTTAGGCACTCTGAAGAAACATGTACATTCAGAACCAAGTTACAAAGCAAGGGCTGCAATGTTATTGTCCCGATTTTACTCATTGCCCCGACCTAATACGTAACTCTGTAGTATATAGCAGTTTTCTTGAGTTTATGTTTACGCACATGGTTAAGACATTTTCCAGGGTCATGTAACCTGAGGTTCAAACCCCACCCACCACTGGACGCAATTAAATGTGTGTACGATGTTGACCGTAACACATAAGAGGCGCGGTGGGTGAAACTGAAGTTTTGCTAATGTTGAGTACGGATGCTAGAGGGCTGCACGGCGCACACGCCCGTAATAGCGCTACAGCTCACGGCCGCGCCTACTTGAGTTCCACTATCGATCCCGGTTTCAGTGAAACCCTCGTCCGTTGTTATAGTTACAGCTACTTCGACATGGCGGCGAAGGTGTCACTTTTTGTCCATTATGCAGTGTGAACTATTCGCTCCGCGGAACCGAATCCTTGATAAGCTTAGTCAAGTTCACCCCCTCATATGTCGTATGAAGGTTCGCACACGAAACTGGCATTCCGTAAAGACTAATTTTAATTTTTGCCCTCGGCTTATGCGAGATTTTAACAATACTGTAACTCACATATACAAAATTTAAGTCTTACTGGTGCATCATTTTACTGCTTCTTTGGAAGACATGTATTTTTATTCAAGGGCTCTAGTCTAGTGTGCCATGAGTATGTCTATACTTCAACTTCTTCAATTGTTCCTGTGTCCCCTTTGCAAAATGGAATGGAGATTAAAGTCATTGCAGATAAGCAAAGGGGATGGAATGTGCCACACTTTCTTGAGACTACCAGAAAATGTCATGGTTTGTGTCTTTGACTCTGAGGTTCCTGACAAAAAATTCAGATTGTCAAGAAAAAAAATTGGGCAGAACTTATGAACCCTCCTTTCCAGTCTTGAAGATTATGTTTTGTTCTGTTTGGCAATTCTTGCTTGGGCATAAATGTCTACAATAAAATCGCAATTGGGTTGAAATTTGTAAGTGTTTGCAATTGTAAGGAAGTTAAATTAGTGTTACTGTTGTTGTTTTCATTATTATATTATTTTGTTTTGGGGAAGATTTTATTACATAAGTACAGATTTTGTCTGGATTAAATTAATCAGATATAACCTCAAAGTTCCACATCATTGCCATGTTCCCAGTTGTTTACTTAATAAGTAGTATTTTATATTTGTGCCTCCAGTTGTCTATTAGATATTAATGTCAGATAGAAAAATTAGTGAACAGTTTGTGCACAAACACCATGTTGTTTCACATACTACAAAAAGTTACCTTGATATATATTTTTATATTTTTCAAATAGGTCTCTCTTTTATCATTATACATCATTTCAGAATCCTATATTAAGTGGTGCTCCCTTCTCAGAATTTTGTACATTCACTGTATTACTCTGACTCTAGGAAATTAAAACATGTTGGGGTAGCTTCCATTGAATACTCATACAAAATTTCATGAAAATTTGTCATTTACTTCAAACGTTGAAAAGGGCTAGGCACACAGACATTGTGGTGATTTCATAAGTGTGCTTTCTTTTCCCTAAGGGAGGGGGGGCAGAAAACCTCAAGTACTTAATTATAACAATGTATTGTTCTTGGATAAACTGTTTTCTTTGTTTCAGAATCGAATGCAGGAGAGTTTGAAGCTCTTTGACTCTATCTGCAATAACAAATGGTTCACTGACACCTCCATTATTTTGTTCCTCAACAAGAAAGACTTATTTGAGGAGAAGATTAAGAAATCGCCACTCACGATATGTTTCCCTGAGTATGGTGGTAAGTTGTCATATGTGTAACACTTACACTAAGTTGATTTGCTTCTAATGGAGATATACTTATGTTTTGTTGCATATTTCAAATGATCTCTGTTGAAAGCCCACAGGTTTCCTGTTTATTTAGTACGTTAATAATATTAGTGCTTAAGTAATATAGTCTGCTGCAGTGATCTGTTCCTCTGTCCTGTCCTAACGCTAAAAGTAAAGTTTGTCCTGCTACGTGCCGTAAAGGCGCTTGGGGTGAGTGGAGGTATAGCTCCTCTCTTTCTTGACCTCGGCACTAGATGGGGGTGAGTGGTCGGCATCACGCCCCGACCGTGCTTTACCCCCGGGAAAGGACAGGAGGCTGGGTGGGCCCCAGAGCCGGTCTGGACACAGGCTAGGGGAAAAAAAAATTCTCTGCCTCCGTCGGGGATCGAACCCCGGTCGTCCAGCCCGTAGCTGGTTACTATACTGACCGAGCTATCCCGGCTCATCCTGTCCTAACGCTCTTATACTCATAACTGACCTTAAACATGAAGGGTTATCACCTTAAAACAGGCCACAGCCACTTCATTCCATGCCCTTTCCAAATCATAATTTACCATCCTGCAGTTAGATGACGTGTAACCTATGCACTTGAAAAAGTGCCCTGAAATAACTCAAGAATTGGTCAATCAGTACACAGTTATATTCAGTATGTGTAATGACTCATCATCATCATCATCATCTTTGTTGTAAATGTTAAATTTTATTGAATCATTAAAACAGACATCTGGGCCTTGTGGTACTTCAGAATTCTTTGGTTGGTGGTAGCAATTGCAACAACAGCAACAATAATAATTATAATATTAATTGCCGCCACCAGTTTTCCTTCCTAGAAAGAGAAGTTATGATACTGAGATTTGACAGGCATTGACATGTGAAATTCTTTGCAAGACAAGAAAGAAAAGTATCTGTAAGGTATTTGATAAAGAAACTTTTAAAATATGAGATTTGAGGTTCTCGCAGTGGTGAATATGTTGATGTTGGTCTTCTGGGTTGTAATGCTGTGTGGACATGCACGAGGAAAGCAACATTTCGGAGGAACATGACTGCCTCCATCTTCAGGGCTGACAAATCATATTTTGGAGGAACTTTCTCCTTCCTCCTACAAGATCAAAATTCAGCACCATCTTAGTCATAAAAGTTTTTGATATTTTGAAGGATCTTGCTGCCTTGTTCTGGATGCACACTGAAGTATTCAGCAAGTCACTCTGAAATGCCATTAATATTCATCATTTTAGTGGCCCCATACCCAAAACTCTATAGTGAGCCAACCTGTGATTAAAGCCTTGTGTCTGACATAGGTGCGCAGGAATATGGAGAGGCAGCAGCATATATCCAGGCCCAGTTTGAAGCCAAGAACAAATCCACAACAAAAGAGATCTACTGTCATATGACATGTGCCACTGACACCAACAACATCCAGTTTGTGTTTGATGCTGTCACTGATGTTATCATTGCCAACAATCTGCGAGGCTGTGGATTGTACTAACACCCGAAATGGACCATCTGGTTCATCAGCTGGTCAACTGGCAGGTGATGGAACCCAATGCCAGACAAGCAAGGGTGCAGCAGGGGGTTCTAAGGGAGGACACTTACCATGTGGTTTCATCCCACTTGTATCAAGAAGAGAAATTAGTTTGGGATGCAAGCACAAAGAAAACATTACCCTATTATCTGGGCACTCTGCTTGAACAGATTTTGGCTTTATAACCAATCATGATCATTTATATCTTGCCACAAAATCTTCTTTCTCTCTTTTGCACGTACATAAGTCACTTACATATATAGTTCTGTGCATTTGGGATATGTATAGTGTTTATCATATACCATGAACAGTCATTCACATGATTTCATCTCATTCATGAAGTATTTGAATAACCTATCCTTAACTGATATTTCAGGTTTTCATGCAGTGAAGATGTTGATTGTGGTCTTTGGAGTTCTGATACCATGTAGTATTGTAGGTGGTTACCACTGTTTCAGAGGATTGTATCACCTCAGTCTGTAACCCTAAATATGGAGGTATTATATTCCTCTACAGCATTACTACCACTTACAAGACTACCCGGCGTCATGACGTAGATCACTATCAAATTACATTCTTATGTATGTAATATCTTCTCCAAGTGAAGTGTGCATATTTGTAGCACAAAGTGAGAAGTTGTATTTAAGTGCTCAAAATGAGAAATCAATATAATCCTACTTTCAGCAAAATTATACAAAACAGTGGGTCATTTTGTCTTGGGAGTTTTGTAGATGAGGGAGTGCATTTGTGAAAATGTCATGTCCCTTGAGGATGAGCCATTTTATCAAAATTATACACAATGCACATTGTGTATACCTTCTTTTGTATCTGTCCATGCCCATGTTTGGGAGATGACAGTGCATTTAATTTGATATTCATGTATAGTAACAGTTCACACTTCACATATCACATATTTATGCGTTTGGGATTTACACAAATTACAGTTCACCGCATCGTCATCAGTCATCACGTGTCCCCTCCCCCTGCCACACCCTGTCCCTCTCCACAATTGTGAGGTTATGTTTGACCTACCCATTGTTGTGTGTGGTGTTCAGACTCTTCCCACCATGCCATGAGCGAAAATAGGAGAGGTGGCAAATCATTCTTCAAACATGATTGCACTATTTGATGTTCTGACAAAATTAATCCCTTTGGAACTCATCATCCTCTCCAAAAAAATAAAAAATAAAAAGACCAGTTCGACAAAAATATTTGTATAGTCAGTGTTTTAGTGTACATATACCTACACAAATGTATTTTTAACTACTGCGTTTTCCATGTGGCCTCTTCCAGTAACTGCCAGTTCTTTCTTCCTTTTTCACAACATACAAATGGTTTTAGATTTTTTGTCACACAAATAGAAATTAAAAATCAGGTTCATTTAAACTTTGGTTTCATATTTAATGCTGCAGTATTAAACCTGGCATTGTGGAGGCTTCAAACATATAAAATACTTCAGTTTCCACAAAAGAAGATAGTTATAATTCTAAATTTTCAGGGACAAATTATGAGTAACAGTATTTTGCAAAATTTTCTTCTTGATGGCTTGTGAAAGTGGATATGTTCCAAACCACATGCTCTTATGTACATGACATTCCTTTGATTTAATATGCTATAAAATATCATTGATAGATCCCAAAGCACTTGTTGATGCTGACAAACATAGAGTGAGGAACAGGAACTCACATAATCATCTTCTGACATTGACTACTTATGAAAAAAACCATGTGCTGTTATGGTGGTTTACATAAGTGTATATTCTGTTGCAGTTTTTGCATAAAAGGAGAAAATATTGATAAATATTACATATTATTTAAAGTTGTATCATTACCTAAGTCATTTATATCATGAATCTAGTCAATAGTGTTGATTCTGTTTCCCCTCTTGATCAGTATCACAGAGATAGCATTTTTAATTTATTTGTTGCCTGTATAATTTATACTTGGATTTCCTCTTTCTTCTCCAATGAGAATGTCTTTTACTTGTGCACAAAAGAGGGGGGAGGATCAACTGGGTGAATTATGTAGTCCAAAGTGGACAAACCTAGTTGGAGTCAATGTGCGAAGAGAATGCTTGTATGTAAGTACCTACCCTTAACATGAATAAGGTACTGTACCACTTTTGTCATTACCTCAACTTCTTGAAATCGAACCAGTGTGTTAGCTGTCAGATGGGTGATAAAGCCTATACTTCTGCTTCATTGCATTATCCAGACAACATACAGTAGCAGTTTCTTATTTGCTATTCCTCCCATCATCACTTTCCACAGAATTCATTTTCTAAAACAAATATTAAGTAATAGTGTTCCATGTTTCTGAAGTGATGGAAAGTAGCTGAACTGTAAGATCTGCATCACTAACAGTAATGTCAACAACATTGTCAATGCCAACAGATGGTACCCCACAAAACCGGTGCTTTGAAATGAGACTTTTCCACATTGGTGTAGTACTGAATAAAAGGTGCCAAAGATACATATAAGAACCAGAAGATTTTTTTTTTTTAGTTTCAGCAGATGTCAGTATTCCAGAGACTTCTATTTATTTATTTCTGAAATTAAGAACAGGAACTCATACAAACATAACTTCAAATCAAATGTATCACCTGGATGCTTCTTCAATTTGATTATATTACTGCAAAAACGAATGGCATGTGATTCCAGTATCATTCTTAGACAGAGAAATCTAATTTTAATTTTAACAAATGCAAGCATATTCCATTGAATGTAATAGTATTGCCTAAATGTGTAATGTAAAGATAACTGATTGTATGTATATTGTATTGTAAACCTGATCTTTGCCTTCTGTTTGAGAGCATCGATGTTGCCTTACTCATTATTCTTGCATTTAATTACAGTAGATTAATATAATGAGGAAGTCAAATTGTAAAACCACAACAGATGGCCTGAAAGACTCCTTCTGCCACCTACTGATGAAACAGGAACTGAAAGATGTTAAATTATCTGTATCATTGGACACAAATTTAATTAAATATAAATGATAACACTTTAAATCAAAAAGAATTTGTACTGAATATTGGAAATTAAAGAATAGATTTTCTCTGTGGTTGGGGTATATTATCTTACGTGTATGTAATTATATATCCTGGCATATGATGTACAAAACTATTATATGTTTTCTCATTCTTTCAGGTGAGCATAATAAAGTTCTTCACCTTTCTAAGGAACTAATGCTTGAAAGAACAAGAAAGGTTTAAGTTATTATGTCTAAAGTAAAAGTGGGTAACAGAAAATCTCTGAAGCAGTTTTTCCAGTGATACAAATCATATTATTTAGTATACAAATTTCATGCAAATTATTCTTTAGAATACTATTGCAATCATTTGCAGGTCATGGTGGTAATGTTAAGAAAACTTCTCCGTAAAGTTTATTTGTGACAGGAAATTAGCAGTAAAAAGTGTTCATAATGATTTTCATTGACATGGATATGGCCATTTTATCTATTCTCACTTTTTAGCCCCTCCATTACAAATCATTGTCATCTGGTGGGAACACAGAAGGCCCTGATGACATCTGTTAAGTTTCAATAAACTATTTTAATTACAGTTAACTAGCAGTTAACAATAAGGCTGAAATTCTTTCAGACAGTTTAGCTGAAGAAACTGAAAATATTTTTCCCTACCTGCTCCCCCATTCCAGTTACATAAAAATCATGAACTGGAAACTGACAGAACAATAAATATAATAATGTGCACCATTGAACTGCCCTGAGACTTAATGATTAATTTATAGGTAACAAAGAAGGTCTCATTCTGCCACTTTTATATGCATGGTCTGGCTGCCAGCCTTACAAATACAATTTTGTATATTACTGCCTAGTAGTTATTTCACATAATTAGTTATAAAATTCATTATGCTTAAAATATGTTTTGTAAATATTATTTCCTTATAACAGACATGCATTTCATCCATGTGATGGGCAAGGTTAGAAATCTTTCCTACTCAACCCTCTTTCATTGTATTTGTATGAGGTCATGAGATGATATGAGTTCAGCTTGGGTTGCTTTGCATCCTAAGCAAACTAAACAGATAATTCTTAAACTGGTAGGTAGCCTTCTGCCCAACTGCAAAATCTCTGTTTTATATTGTTGAACAGTTTGAATTAGTAAATACGTCAGACTTGGTTAACTATATTCTTTTTCTTGCAGTGATGCTAGTAGTCTACAATAGGTCCTCAAGCCTCTTCTATATTTAAATTCATAGTTTGTACTAAATCTTATGCTGGCAGTATATCTGTATATTTAGAAATGTGTAAATTAATTGCAGGTTGCCAGAAGGGATGAAACAATTTCAACCATGTTAACTTTACAAACATGTTGTGTTACATATGCTGAGTGATTTTGATAACTACTATTAAAAAATGCACTATTTATTGTTAATGTAGGGTTATTATATGAGCTACCTTTAGTCTATTAGCAGTGGATGAAGGAAACAGGTCGTGTTGCCACCTTGTTTTACAAACCACGTCCCTTTTTACAGGAAAAGTACATACCATACTTCATGTACATTACCTGGCATTTGTATACCTTAACAGACAAGAGGTGATGTAGCAGGGGTATCAGAATAGTGGACAATGAACGTATTGGTAATTTTGTGACAAACTCAGTCTCTGAACATACAGGGAAATTAAAAATAGATTCATCTAGTGATATTTAGGAAGGTAATATACAGTATCCACTTGTGCCATTCAACATATTTGTAAGTGGAGCAAAATTTCTCATTGTGCATTTAAATATGAAATAAATGTAAATTTCTGTTTTACAGTAATTTCATTTACTTGTAGTATTGTAATGCCTTGCAGTTAATATCCATCATAAAAGATAGTGATAATATAAGAAACACTATTGATTTTCTTTACTGTAAGTATTCAATTTGTAATTCTGTAATTAATCTTTCCAGTCTTAAGCTTTTACCAGAATGTATTTTACCTGTCTGCTCCTAGCATAATATAACACAGAAAATTAAATGCCCATAGCCATTCTATTGCAGTAAAACAATATCTTAATTACATTTTAAATAACCACAAACAGTTGGGATGAGGGTGCCATGCCTTAACTTTCAGATTGAATGGGCAAAGGAAATAATCTCATGCATAAACAGAAGAGGTTTCAGTTACTACTGTCAGCAATATAACACATTTAACTGCACAGAAATGATTAGACTTGTATTAAAATAACTAGTTTGCAGAAATGACCATACACTGCTTCCAGAAATGGATATTCTCCTATTCAGAACTGCATAAAGATACTGTTCTCAGCTAGGTTATTTATATTTAAAATGCTCTTAATACTGAAGTAAAAATTATTAACATGTTTGCAGAAATTCATAAATTCACTGTTCTAATTTCTGTGGACAAAGTTTTGCTCAGTGAAGAAAAAATCTGCAGAACAAAAGCCTGAGAATGAACAGTGCATAACAATTTCTAAAGTGAAATGCTAGAACAGACACTGAAAGTTTCTCAGCTACAAACTCCTTGAATAACTTGAAGTGACACAGTTTCAGAACACCCTCTGTGAATATTGTGTCTGTCTGGGAACGCTAGTCCTGTACACTTCTGTTCACAAAAGCTGTAAAACTTATGAGGGGGCTTACTTGAAAGCTCTGCTTTGAAAAATTCAGTCGTACCAAGAATTTTATGTTTGTCCAGCATCTTAAGCAGAGTTGCATGCTAATGAGTAGTGTGAATTTGTATGGATATAGTGTATGAAGCAATTCTTTGTGTACAGTGGTTGTAGATCTCATTAGTAATGCATAAGAAAACAGTATCCCTAATTAAAGCAACAATCCAATTACCATACCAGGGACTTGTCCCAATTCGTAAAAACCAAGGAATTTGCTTCACATTTAAGGTATCATTTTTGTAAACACAGACTTGTAATGCTGCTTCTTTATTAATTGTTCTTAAAATAGACTGAAGCACTTAGCAAGTTCCTAAAGTGTGTGTGTGTGTGGGGGGGGGGTTTATAAATGATGATAATATAGTAAAATATTTAAGAACTTGTATTCCAGACTGACTTGACAAAATACAGCATGAAATGTTGCATTCCATCAAATTTAAATATGTGGCATTTAACACTGCATGAAGAAGTATTTCATAAGATAACCACAATGTAGTAACAGCAATACCATCTCAAAGGCCTTTCAAGTCCAGAAATATTGTTTGTGGCACTTACACAATTATATAAATTACCAAGAAACCCTCTTATTTTCCTTTGTCACTAAATTAGGTGTTAAAACAAAAATATGACTTGTTCTGTGACACAATGGTCTGTAATTTTCAGTTAAATCATATGTCAGAGGAAAGTAAAACAAATTCTGGTGTTTTATCTGATTTATAATGGTCCCTCATTCTGGCTTCTGTCTTCTGTTTCTATTCAGTTTGTGGCAGTTTTATTTGAATAAAATTGTATTTTGTTAACTACAGTTTACTTCTATGATAACAGTTGCAGAAAATGTGTTGTGATATGATTAATTTAGAAATCCAGAGTAGTAATGTGTCATAATGTAAAATTTTACTGCAGTACAAATACATGACATTGAAGTTGTTTGGATTATATTATCAGCTAATGAAACCAAAGACCTGTGAAAGATTCAGAGTTCCCCAATTTTGACCAAGTCCAACTAATCTGGAAACAAAACTGAGACTGGCCAAAAAATAAAGAGGTGGCAATCTTATGTTATAGTAGTAGTAGTAGTAGTAGTAGTAGTAATACTAGTACTACATTCTTACTACTGTCCTTTTACTCCACCAGAAACACTTACTGGCTTTCACTTTTTATCACATGATATTCTTTCAACTCTGCATGTTTTAATACACCCTGTTTTATTTTACGTGCATGAGATGTGTACTAATATATATATTTACATTTAATCAGTTTCTGAAGTTTATATTATATTAAAAAAACTACATTTTATTTGTTCTTACTGAACCAGTTTAAATTCTAATTGTAGAAGCAATGACCAGATAGTGTGGGATATGTAACATAGAAATAAAAATGTATAGTCCTGGAACTGTTGACAAATTTTATAGTATTTTCCAGTTATTTTTATGTTTACATACCCTGAAATATTTGAGTTCAAATTATAAATTTGTCATTATTACCATTGAAACATGTTTCCAGGAGCAAACTTCAGTTCTTAACTTCATAAGAAGCAGATAATTCCTCTTTACAGCACATAATAGTGTATCAGACGAACAAAATATGTCTGTTCCCTATGCATAATATAAATGTGGGTAAAAAGTTCTCTCTTCCAATAAGTCTCTTATAGGTGGCAACACTAGAAGTGGTTTTTTATATTTTCATTATTAGAAGTGCAGGGACAGGTTGGATTCACAAGAAACCAGTTTATAAGTAATGTTAATATGCTAACATGATAAACGTTTGACATCTCTCTTATCCCAGTATTATAAGATTACTTAAATGTAAAATACTTGAAGCCTAGGGAACAAAAGTATAATCAAGTAAATGAGTTCAGCAATTCTAAACAAGTCATTAGTTTCTGACCTACAAAATAAGTAGAATTTTTCTGTTTTACATGGAATCTGCATGTGAAGAACTGAACAAACTCCAATTAATTTTACTATTTTCAATACAGAACAGTGCTTAGCAGATGCCATGTGTTGAATGAATGTCCTAAAAGTGAATAGCCTAAACTGATTTCAAGTTTACTGAGTTTACCTAGATGTTATATATGCTATAAAGGATAAAATTAAAATTTTGAATTTACTAATTGGTGAGGTTATCTGATAATCCTGAAACAAAATGTTGTGCAACTTTTGCCATGTTTACCAAAATTATATGACTCTAAAGGTAACAAAACATGTTATAAGACTTCAGGGTGGAAGCATATGCATAAACAACTGACTAATTAATTTAAAATTTGCAGATGAAGCCATATTATTTTTCTCACTCCTGTGACCAACATTCTACCATGACTCTGCAAATGTTTGACCATACTTCAGACCAATATGGAACACTGTTTTATGTACGTATGTGCACATATAAAACCAAACCATTGCTTAGTTGTGGAGATAAATAATAATAATAATATTGAAAATAATTATAATGATAATACAAGAAATAATGTTCATGTTTTCCAGGTAATTGTAGACCATGTATATGAAATTCTTAAATGCTAGAGAATTTAAAATATTCTCTACATACTGCGTGTTTGTTTCTCTGTGATGTGAATAAGATAAAAATATTACCCACTTTTTGATGTAGATTAAAGAGAGTTTTGAGAATGTGAAAGCTGGTCTTGGTGCCATATTGTTGGTGTGTTTGCTGACACAGTAGCCTATACTGCCAGGGTGCATGTGCTAACAGCAGACTTGTCTGCTGTTCATTGCAATCTACTTTGTAATGTTTACCCATTCCTCTCCTCTCAGCTGAGGCAAGTTTTTTTTCCACAGATTTGGGTCAGTGACTTCAATTAATTTTGTTTTGTGATCTTGGTAAATGAAAATATTGACAAAAGGAGTTAATGGTATATATGATACTGATTATCTGTAGAATCTACATTAATGTGTTACTTGAGTTAGAGACATGGCAGAATAAATATTGTAATCTGTGGCTTTTATTGTTATAAATTGAGCTGTGTTGACCCAATAACTGTGTACAGGAACTTGAAAATATCTTTTTGCATCATAAACTTATAGGAATAGTACCAAGAAACTATAGTGCATTTTTGACATCCATGGACCTAAACATTTATGCCAGTGGTGTGTTGAAGGTGATTTAAGGATTTGACTATAACAAGGAATGGACTTCCTTTAGCATATTGATATAATCACAGGTATCTGTCTTGTTTAAGCAAGGTGGGAGTGGGACCACCCTTAGGAAATGTGTGTAGTGTGAAATATGAAATGCATTTTGAGTAATCCTCCCAAATCATCTGTGATTTTAGTTTCTGAAATTCCATTTTATTGCCTTTCACAGTTTTTAGCGTATTGTTACTTGCTAAATGTTTGTATTTTATTCATTCTAACACTAAAAATGCTTTCACCCACCCTGATTGTGAAAAATAAAACTCAAACATACCTTTCTCCATGAGCATCTGAATTATTTGAAAAATATCTGCCTTCTCCGATACACCAATATTGTGAGTATCACTTTATGTACAATTCAGTTCAGTGCCACTATTGCACCAAAGGTTTCAGTCTACTTTCTATACATTCTTGGTGTTTTTAATAAACCCATTCACAAATACTTGACATGTTGTAACCACGCAGAGGAGGGGAGAAATATATTTGAGAAACAAGCATATTCACCCAAGTATATGGTAGGTATTTTTCTTTGTAATGTATTGTTTCTTTCACTTGGCTTGTAAATATATACATAGACACGTGTGCAAGCACATTTTTTATACACACACATACACACTCCATGGAGCTGAGTCCTTCCTGGAAAGCCAACAGTCACTTACCACTCAAATTACCAGTTTTATGGAATCCAAAGGTTCATTGCAGTGTTCACAAGAGCCCACCATTGGTCCCTGTCCTAAGCTAGAAGAATCCAGTCCATTCCACCCCCATACTATTTCTGTACAATCCATTTTACAGTTTCCAAGAATCATTGCTTGAGCACGCCATGTTTTTTTCATTTGTGGGTGTGAGTGGTGATCATCTGTCTACATCAAAAACATTGATTTTGCTGCTTTTGAAAATGTTGGTCCACTCCATACACATTTCATTATATTAATAGCAAACTCTTCTGTCCATATTTAGTGGCCAATTGTCAGTGGATCTCTGCCCATTTAATTGTTTCTGACACCATAAGTGCAACCACAGCATGTTGTTTGTCCATGGTGCAAGCCTCCAGTGGAGCAGTCATCTTAATATCGTGTGAAATTTGAGGTTCTCATGGCAGAAAGTATGAAGATGGCTGTCTTCTGGGTTGTTGCACAGTGTAGAGTGGTAGAAGTTTACCAATGTTTCAGAGGTCAGCCTGATGATGGAAGCAGCAAGGGCTTCTTAAATATTGGTAAACTTCTACCAGACTATGTAAGATTTGAGGTTCTCACAGCGGTGAGTATGAAGATTTCCGTTGGGGTTAACATCGACCGGACTACACGCAACAACCCAGAAGACAGAAATCTTCTACCAGACAACACTGTGCAACAACCCAGAAGACAGCCATCTTCATAGCCTACTCTGTTATAAATTGTTTACATAATAATATCTATGTTTGAATTTATTAATATTACTTCCACAGCTGATTATAATTTGAATGTGGCATTATTATTTTGTTCGCTCTTGATTTCATTAATAACCTAATTTAAACTTCAGTGACATTTTATAAATGTTCTTGAAAGTTAAATATTGGAAGAGACAAGGACCATCTTGCCTATCAGTGTCATAATCCAAAGGTTTTCCATCAGGTTTGGAACATTTCCAACATGTCATGCACAATTCAACAAATTGTGTTTGAAATATGTCTATTAGATAAAATAAATATTTACTCCTTTTAGTAAAGCAAAACCCATGAAATGAAATGAAATGAAATGTGGGCCCAAAGCATTGCTCCTTAAGAGTTCTAAATACATTTCATGACAATAAAGAACACTGCAGAAATTTCAATAGATCAGGTGCTACACACCAGATAGGTACCCTAGAACCATAGAAGGCTGCAGTCCATTAATAACACACAACAGTGATTTACTGACATGCTGTGTGTTTGGCAGGCACCATATGTCAGCACCTACTAGCAGTGTTCTGCTTATATTACTACTACTACTACTACTACTATTTTTAATGAGTTTTTTATTTTTTTAGGGAGTGTTTCTTTTGTGAATGGTGATACTCTTTTGAGATATCGGGTAGGAGTGGAGAATTTGGTTGTTAGAGGCAAATTTTCATTTCATCCCATATATGTGCATAGTGTCATGTGTATGACAAAGAAAGATGAGTGCACAGGTGGATTCTGCTTGCAAGATTTGAATATTTGTGGGTTTGTGATGTTGGAAGGAGGATTCGGCATCCTATGCATCAATCATAAAGTAGTGTTCTCTTACGGCCAGAAAACTACACTGTGTTTCTGGGGTATCTGTGTGATCAATATGCTTGTGATAAAATAAGGGCAAAATATTGGCTGGTTAGGGCCATATCACAACCTTTTTGGTAGGTCCCACTAAGAAAATTAATGGTGTGAATGATAGGTAGCATTTGTTTACTTTCTTGAATTAGAAGTCCTCATGTTGATAAAAAAGACAAAGTAATTTATTAACAGGATAAGCTTGAATATTATGATGGAAGAATAGTATGCATTAGTTTGAAAAAAAAATTGTAAATGATTCATGAAGTTGCCTGTAACAAGATAACCATAATGCAAATAAATAAAAGCACATATCTGTCAACATATTTCATCAGTTATACAACATATCCAGCTACAGAGTATACTGTGTAGTGTAATAGAAGGGATCTGAGCTTCCTCCTGAAATACTGATTTCTTTAAAGTTAAGTATCATTTTACTGTTACATTAATTAAACTAAAACGTTATTCCATATTTTATTTAACAGTGAAAATGGGTAAAATTAGTTGATTTGAGAGTATGTGTTGTTGATTAAAAATCCATCAAGCAAGTTTGTTGTACCCACCATTTCAATTTCTTTATCATAAACTATATTTTTAATAACACGTTTTGTTAGTAGTAATTTTCAGGAAACCGGTTTTGTTAATATTTAAAACCGACATTTATTTCTGTGCATTTTTACACCTTTACATGATACTAAAAACTAAAATTCTTAAACGCAATTTTAAGGGCTTCAGAGATATTGTACTTTATTTGCACAGTAACTTACTTGCTGGTGTATTAACATCCTTCCACTTATTATCTGTGACGTGCTTATGTTGGTTCCACTGCCGCGCTGAGCTGTGGTCCGATTGGTATTATATGTACTTACAAGTGCCACGCCGTTGTTAAGTGTAGGTGGTTAGGAGAAGTAAAGAATTAAGTTGTATAAGGCTACTGCAAAGACGATGACGAATTTGAAACTCGTTCTTCAGACTTTCTACCGAGAGTACACTAATAACACTCCAAAAAAATTGAAAATAATTGATGCCTATTTGCTCTACGTATTATTAACAGGCATCATTCAGTTTGTTTATTGCTGTTTGGTGGGGACATTCCCATTTAATTCGTTCTTAAGTGGATTTATTTCTTGTGTCAGCTGTTTTGTTCTTGCAGGTTAGTGAATAATTGTTTTATTTTGTAGCTAGTTGCTTTAGGTACTACTGATTTGTGTATACTTCCATGAGTTATGTAAATCATAATTTCCCTAATTGCAATAAAACCCCAATTCAGATAACAAAAGTTGGATTTCTTAACAAGCCAATAACCAATATCCAAATTAGCCCAATGATTAATACGTACAGTTAAAGTAACAGTGCTCTCATTATAAAATACACTTGTTTTCAGTGTGTCTTAGACTTCAGGTGAATCCACAGAATAAGAACCAATTCAACGGCATCAGTCCAGAGCGAGGTTTTGCTGATTTCATATTTGCCCATATTATTTTGCACATAGTGGTGATGAACTTTATTGGTTAATAGCTGTCACTTACCAAAATAGGTAAGTTATTTTTCATTGTTTTTTACAAGGTGGCTGTTTCTATCTTTGAGTTTCAGTGATTAATAACAGTCTAGTCGTGGACCATGAAGTGCTCTGATTGGTGGCTGGGCTTGGCTGGAATAGCGTCACAGATAATTCTGTTGCTATAACAGATTTGTTTAACTTAGATGATGGTTTCAAAATGTATATGGTGGTAATGATTTATAGCATGCTCATCCAATGCATAGGTCTCTGAATAATCAGCAGGAGGAGACTACAGTTCCTAATTATACATTTCCATTCCAGGTGTCTCAGATGTCCTGGGAGTTTCACATTATAAATTTTTTGACTTGCCTAAAATGCAGATGCTCATTCTGCATATGTCCGAGGACATTTTAGATGCCTGGGATGGAACATGTAAATAGGTGCTCACAACATATTGGCAAACAAGCCCATCACAATAAAGTGTTATCACCTGAAAATGGAAACAAAATTAGCTACAAACATCAAGGAAAATGTGTAAGAATTCTTTGTGAAGCTGTTTGCTTTATCCTTCTGTTTAGTAGAACAGGGTGATTGAGGCTACTACAATGTAAGATTTGTCTAGCTAAACAGCTTTCCAAGAGCAGAACCTGAAGGTTCAACACCACCATTATCAAAGTCATGATTCTGAGTCAGTTACATCCACCTTCCATCTTCCTGAAGGTCCATCGTAATTATATCTTTCCATCTTCTCAATCGTCCAATTGGTCATTTTCAAATAGATATCTGTGCCTAAATTTGATTTTCTTTGTTTCCCATTCTAGCTACATGTTGAATCTATCATAGGCTCCTAGATTCACTAACCCAACAATACTAAAGTTTAATCTTGTTTAATATTTCAAACTGCCTACTTTATAGTTAGTTCCAGATATTTTTATTGGTAAGTCAGATGAGACTTATTGCTTTAGTTATGATGAAACTAGAAGGTGCATTAAAAAAATGGTTGTGTGAAGTTTGTAAAGCATCTGTATACCAAGCACAAATTGAAGAAATACTTAGATAAGGAAAGGTTATGCTATTAGGAAAATTAAATATACATTTACACAACCTCACTTGGACAATATTATAAGGGTAACTTCATAGGGCAGAGTCTTTGAGAAGATAATAGTATGTTCAGCCAGTCAGTCAATTATGTCTTTTGTGGAACTTGATGTTTCATTACCATATTCACAAGAGCTCATGTTCCTGAAACCACCATTAAAATCAAGTTGTCCAATTTGTATGGACAATGTTACAAATGGTGATTATGTTACTGACCACAAGCTGTAAGTCATCATTTACAAATTATTTGTATAAATATGTGTTGCACTAAGGACTGCTTACTTTATTTCTCATACCAGCAGTTTCTTATTGAATGCTTTAAACTCTCATATTTTTTGTTTGAAATGCAACTTTCACATATCGCTTTTGTGATCTAAATATTTCAGTAGAAAATGGTGTCCAAATATAAACAAATACTGTA